GCCAGGTCATTTCTGTGTGGCTCTGGGGTCAGAACGTGCTCTGTAAAGCGGCCAGGTTCCTCCCTCTCCTTGTTATTGTTGGGCTGAGGTTAGAATGAAGTGTGCATTTTCAAGAGCTGATCCGTCCAGACGACCTGGCAGTTTAAATACTGGAGAGACGGTCTTCTGGAAGTGGCTGTCAGCTGTGACTTGAGCAGGCAGTTAAATTAAAAAAAAAAAAAAAAATGCCACAGCATGTACTTCAGCTTTTTGTGTTTCAAACCCTCCCCACCAGTAGAACCGCATGATCATCTGTACCATCTGTGCATGGGAGAGAACCGAAGCCTGGCTGGATGCTGCCGGTCTGGAGCAAGAGGTTGCTTGGGGTGTGGACCTAAGGGCAGAGTCCACCTCCCTTCCTTCAGTGTCGTGGGTCAAAGGCCCAACGGATGGGAACAGCAGCAAATGTGAATGCAAGGGTGTGGCTGGAGCAGTGTACTTTGAGAAAGCTCTGGCGCCCTCCGTTTACAGCAGGATGGTTAGAGGTTCTGCTCTGATGAGATGATCGCGTGAATGGGAGTCACTAAGGCGCGTGGAGCAGACTGCTCTTTGGGAAACTACACTCGGCCCCCCGCCCATCTTGTGTTCCGTCATTTATTGCCTAACAGTCTGGACGGGGACACAGGGCAGATGTACCTCCTGCGCCTAGTTGAGAGCGCAGATTCCGGATTTCGCAGGATCTCTGTGCACGCTTCTCTCTCTGAGCGTCTGCTCTGTCTGCGTTGAGTAGCTTAGTTCCTTCTGAGGAACGATGTTTTTCCACCAGCAAAGCTGCCTTCTTTGAACCACACTTGAAAAGAAACTTTCAAAGGCAGCACCAGCCTCCCCAAACACCTTTTTCCAAAGGAAGCCGTCCTCCCGCTGCCTGGCACCCGCCGCCTCCCAGGTTCTCCGAGGCTCTGACTCAAAGGTAGTGGCCTTTTGGGACCAGGATGGAGGAAGGATGAAGGTCCACCCCGTGAGCCCCAGCTGCCTTATTGATAACAGGGTGCCCCGAAGGCCAAAAGGAGGTTTCCAGCGTAGGATCTAGTTCCAATTTGTGATTTGTGACCTGTCCCGATTGTTAAAGTCACACGTCCTGATTCTTTTTTTCTTTCCTTTCTTGGAAGTGATGTTTAGAGCTTGTTTGAGTTGGATCAAATGCTGTTTTAACAGCTGCCCTATTCGGAAATGCTGTCAATTATTAACCCTGAGAGTAGTTTTTCTTTGAAAAATACTTGTCTGAGCTCTCTCAAAATGTCAAAATTTGGCTGCTTCGTGGGAAGTCGGTTAGTGACGTTGCTTAATTGCCAAGCGTCAGTTTCCCCATCTGAAAACTGGAGATTTATAAGAAGTGCCTTCCCTGTAGGGTTCTTGTGAGCTCACACATGCAAAATGCTGGGAACAGCTGGGTCGGCGGATGTTAGCCATTATTATTATCGTTGTTGTTAAGAGTGGTTCTATCCGGTCAACTTTCTATTTGCAGGAGCTTCCACTCCTGCCGTCACCACCCTCAAAAAAATAAACATGAAAAGAAAAATCGTTTAGGGAACAGTTTTCCTGTTCATTCTTTGACGCACCAGTGTGCGCTGAGCCCATTCTCAGGGTTGTGTGGTCTATGTAGAGAAAACCGAGGCTCAATTCCTGCTTGCACATGGTGGGGAGACCAGGAGGGGAGAGCTGCTCCCCGGCAGGGGACGGTCCCAGCTGGGAGGGATGGGATTGCATGCTTTCTCCACCCCCGCTTCCTCCCAGAAAAAAAAAAAACCCAGACACGAGGACAGGGACCAAGTGTGACACCACCCCCTTTCCTCTGCCCTCCCCCAACACTGTACAGTCCTAACTCGTGGCGGGCCAGAGTCCTTCCTGTCACTCAGGGAGGCCACTTTTCATTAAGTCTGGGCCCCAGGAGAGAGCCTGAAGGCTGATAGCCCAGGCCTCCGGAATATTGCATATCTATGTGGAGCTGTTCTGCTGGCCCTTGGTTGATGTGTGGGGTTGGGAGGCAAGAACTGCTCCCTGTGGGTGGAAAGGTGAGATGAGAGGGGCCTTGGTCTGAGCCCCCCACAGGGCTTCTGAGTGACCCAGCCGTGGTCACCTAGTAGCCTGGATGCCAGGCTTGGACCAGTCTTGAACCAGGCAGAGCTACGTGAAATCTCGGCAGATTTTTCCTCTTAACCAGAGGATGCTGGGCTCTGGACCAGGCCCTGCAGGGGAAGATCCCACCTGGGGGCAGCCTGTGGCCGCACATTTGCTAAAAGATGCAGGGAGAGGGAAGGTCAGCTACTTTTCGTTTTGTTCCTTTACCTACCAAGATCTTGACAAGTGACCTGTTTGCTAGAGAAAGTAAGCAACAGCTGGGACTCCTTTATAACCATCCACCCCAAAAACGGTGAGAGCTGTAGTTGCTGAGCAGGCCAAAGTGATGGGGAAGGTTCACAGCCAGCGCCTGCCTTCCTGGCTGTAGAGGGGGCAGCAGCCAGAGCCCAACGGGCGGCTTGTAGCTGGTCTGGCTTGACCACTGCCTCACCCTGTCGATGAAGGACTTGTGCTGCTGTCCACCGCTGCCCCTCCCCCAGATGCCCCCCACAGTGGGGCAGGCCCAGATCCCCGGCCAGGGGCCACTGCAATCTGAAGTCTCAAAAAATAAATGCGGGGAGGCCAGCGAGATTCTTTTGGCTCAGCATTTACTGAGCACCTACTATGTACCAGGCTCTGCTATGCCGGTCGTTTGAGGTAAGAAGCCTTGGACCAATGAGCTCCCTAGCAGTGAGGATGGTTTATTTTGTTTATTTCTCTTTGCTTTTTGCTTTAAATAAAACTTTCTGTTCTTATTTGGCACATAAACATGTGACAGTTGAGTGATTATGTTACTCTTACAGGTTTGGACTGATTTGATTGTTTCTAGAACTCCCGACGTGTACAACAACCCTGACTCTTAACATTTTATCCCTCTTGCCCACTGTCAGTCAATTTGGGGGAAGAAAAATGAACATAAGTGAGAAAGGACCTTGTTTTGGAGTAGAACTCTTCCCACTTACCTAGATTAATAATTTATACAATAATTAGTAATCATCCCAGGTTTCTTACAGTATGAATGACGGGCATCCAGTGGGCGGAGGCCAGGGATGCTGCTAAAAACACTACAATGCCCAGAACAGCCCCATGCAACAAAGAATTATCTGGCCCCAAATGTCAATAGCACTGTTGCTGACAAACCCAGTTTGTATGACAAACTGTTACACAGTGCCCTTGCTGGAATATACCCTGAATGTGCAAATGTGGCTGTGAGTCCCATGGGGCTTAGCGAGGATGATATACCCTCTCCACCCTGGAAGTTTAGAAATGTGGGGACCGTTATTGGCACTCAGTTGGTCTAGGATAGTGGACAGTGTTTCACACCAAAGACTTGTTTTACCCCAGATGCCCACAGTGGGCAAGACTGGCCCTATTCCTGAGAATCTAGAGTGTTCCAGGAGAGAGCGGTGATCTCTGATCCCCACCCAGGAGCCCCTGATGCCCTGGACAGGCGGTCTGAGTTGGAGCCTGCACTGCAGCCAGCAGCCCCAGGATGTGGGACCACAAAAGCCCATCAGATTCCTGGTCCATGGCCTGTCTCTTCACAAGCCAGGGGCATCCTCA